ATATCACAAAGAAAGGAGCTATCGGTTAGTGACATTTATTTGTAGGTTTTCTGTAGCATGGAAAAGTGGCCTTTATTTTTCTAAGTGATATTTTCTGCTTAGAGTCAAATTCTTTTCATGCAGCTTACAAAAATAAATACTTGTATTTTGCTAAGATCATAATAGCTCATTAGAAGAGGCTGAATTTGGACCCAGACTAAAACCTAACACCACAGGGCTGAGCATGCTTACTTGAACCTATAATGTTGCTAGTTCTCGCTCTCTGGGGAAGGAGAGGACTAGGGGAGAGGATTCAGCCTTCTTAATTGTGAACCTCATTAGTGACGGTTGCTAGGCAAAACACACACCTACTTTCAGTGCATATGAAAGAGATAAACAATACGTCATAGACCATAATGACTCTGGTGCTCAGGGCGACCTTTAATTATTATATTTTTGTTCTCTTCTACCTTAGTTATTAATGCAGAAAAACAAATTAGTTTTGTGTGTGTGTACTGCAGCAGATTTGGAAATCACTTTCCATGTTTTGAGGTCTAGAGTGTATTTCCTTCTGACAATCGTGGCTTGCCTCATTCATTTCTCTGCGTGCCCATTGGTAAATACTATTTGGAACCTAAAATGACAATGATTGTATTAGCAGCTTAGTATTCTGTTACGACTGTAATTAATTTTATTAGTGTAAAAAGCCATGATCCTGTCAATATGTTAGTAACAACTGGCATGAGGACTCCAGTGGAAACTGTTGTACGTCAAGTCACAGTGGTTTTGAGTATTCTAACTCTTGAAGAACTGAAGATGTATTTGGCCCCTATGCATATAATTTTTGGTCAGCTCTTTTGGTTTCCATCTGAAAATATTCTGTTCTGTTCTGGTCCGGTCCAGTCTAGCCTAGTCTATCCTATTCTATTTCTTTCCATTCCACCCCATCACATTACATTCCATTCTTATTTTATTTAATATCAGGTTACCTGTGAGCTGGTTTGTATTTTATGTTGCTGTATTTTACAGTGATATTTAAATCTAAATGATTATTTGGGGCTTTGTGGGAGAATAAATACATGTGTGCATGTGTACGAACACAGCTGTGATTGTGTGTGAGTGATTGGGAGGCTGACGGGCTCCAGAAAGATAGCATTTCACAATTCTGGATTTCCAGAGCTGCTTTCCATTCTCCTCTTCATCTCAGCCTATCTTCTTTTAGCAGTTCAGGCAAGAAGTCAATCACATTGAGTGAGTCTGAAGGAAAACATTTTATGCTGTTTTTCTCATACAAACCCCCTCCTGCCGTAATCTGCAGTAAGGCCCAGCCACAGGAAATTGACCTCACAGTAAATTCTTTACAGATTTGGTCATGTTTTTACCATCCATGTAAACTTGCATACATAACCTGAGACTGTACCTCTGGATCAAGGAATATGACAAGCCAAAATAAAATCAAGTCAAATTAAATAGCAAGAAAAAGCTGCAAGCAAAACAAGACTGAAGAAAAAAAAAATATAGAAAAAGATGAAAAATTGGTTGTGACTGCAAAACTGTAAGTATTAAATAAAGAAAGAAGTCAGAAGCAAATTCAGAAGCGCCGCACTCTAGTTGACAAGGGCTGAGAAATACTAATGGACTTTTTTAATGGGTGGTTTGATGGATGAGAGAAGAAATTATGTAAAAGTAAATGTCGTAGTGCATCAACATAAAGTAGGGTGAGAAAACAAACCAAAAAAAAAAAAAACAACAAAAAAAAAAAAGGAAAAGAAAAGAAAAAAAAGCATTGCAAATAAAAAAAAAGACATGTAAATGTGTGCCTACCATTTTCCAGATAAGAAGGGGCCGTACCTTCTGAGGGGTCAAGGCGGCGAGCCCGCCTCCCGTGTTTGGAATTGTTGTGTACAAACATGTTGTCTGAGACAGCCAGCACGTGGCCATCCACATTGACTGTTGTTGATACAACAACCTGAAAAAAGAAAACAAAAGGCAAAACTGAAAACACCCTGCACGTCCTCGCAAGCCTAGACACAGCATCAAGACCGTCTTTTGAGGCAAAGCACCACAGCCCGTCACTTTTCGCCTTAAACGAAGTGAGTGACAACTATGAATACATCTTTGTTGATGTGGCTAACACTGGTGATTTTTAAATCACAATTGTTTCTCTTCAGAACCTGCTACACTAATTAGAGTTTAATCTCCTATTATGCTAACAAATGAATTCAATTCAGGGAAATATTCTTCTAGCCATTAGTTTCAGAAACACCCCTCTAGCCACTCATTTTAAAAGCCGCTGTTTTGATTGATCTGTTGATATATTGATTAGATAGTTTATCTAATTAAAATTTGTTCACTTGAGACTGTCTTCAAATGAAGGGTTGCGAGGATTCCAAATAAAAAAGCTTAATAAATCAGGAAGAATCGTAACTCCCCATTTTTTTCTTCAGTAAATGATCTCCAGGTCAGTTTTACAATTACATTTAATGTCTGATAATGAACTTTTTTGCATCTGAAAAGACCGAGTTGAATATGAATAGTGAAAGTGTTTTCAATCCATGAAAAGTATCCCTTCTCAAGTTCATTTGGATGGTGATTGACCCTGGTATGTCAATGGAATTTCCTCCTTTATTTTTGAGTGAAAGGCTCCTATTCTTGTGTCCAGGTTCAGAGTCCGGCCATAGAAGAGATGATGGATAGAGCCTTCTTTGGCTTCCAGCTGCTTCTCAGTAGAAAATGGAAAAGGAACATATGCAAAATGCACAACCTTCCCGATAAAAACACCTACACAATGGAGTTGTGAAACTCCTTCCGGAAACGATATTGCATGAACACAAGCCAAAGAGGAAACCCTGAGATGCGCCTGTGTTTGTGCAGACCACAGCTTCATAGGTCAATTCCTATTATCCCAGACAGACATTTACATCTTATTTAAATACTCCAGCATAGGCCCTGTGGTTTAAGTTCCAGGTTTTCTATATGAAGTAATCGCTGCAGGGTTTTCTTTGGGGTTTAATGTTAGTAGGGTCCTTAAAGTCACGGCTAAGTTTGGCCTTAAAGATGTTATTGGTGACGGTGGCAAAAGCTGGTGCAAATTTTATCTTTCTCCATCCATTTACTTTACTTTTGGGCATAACAGAAATTATTTCATACCATCACCTAAACACTTAATGAACAAAAATGGAAGGGGAAAAAACAGCCTCCTTTTGCACAGAGCTGGTCCAAAGCATCAGAAGAAATTTCCTGTCTGCTTCTATGTTTTGGATCACCTCTGATCCTGTTTCTTATTCACAACCTATAATTAGCTTTCAGCTATCACAGCACCTTTTCTATGTGTCCCGCCTCCTCTGAGACAGCCATCTGCGGTACCCTTTGGAACAGCCCGAGGGCAGCTCTCTGCCAGGCTGCTCTGCTTCCCTAGCTTTCTCCTCCCAGAAGTGGACACTTTCACTGTTGTCAGCATCCACTTTGGAGAGCGCTGAGGTCTCACACTCGTCATAGCCGCAGAGCTGCTGCCAGGCCACTGGACTTCCCACATTCACCTTTAAGGAGATCCACAGACTTCGAGAAATATCACAAAACACACAAGTGTGATTTTCAGTGCAGATTTCTGGATTTGGTTCCTAGAGCACGGTATATTAAAAAGGCAGAGAAAGGTGTATATAAAAATGACAACTATTTTTGTTCTGTCATGTATATGTAGGTCAGTCACCAAGGGAAAATACTGTAGTTCAGCAGAAGAAAGTAGACATGCTACGCTTTGTTATATCAGCTTATTCCTGCAGAGCACCTAAAGGAAGGTGCTGAGACAGTGAAACCAGTTAAAAATATTGTTCAAGATCTGACATACTGTTAAGTCCAGTTAAACCTTCTGAGAGGCAGGGAGATTAGCTAAAGAGACCCAGGGAAGTCTTTCTAGTGCCTACTGGCTCCATTGTCGACCACAGGATCACTCATGACTGATGCTTCATTTAGTCATCGGTGAGACAAAGAGGACATTTCCACTCATTCCAGGTTTGACCTTCTGTTCTGTTCAGATGGATCAATATCACCAATGCCACGTGAAGCTGAGATGCATGAAAAATGGAAGCTTGGCTCAATTGTTTTGAAGAAAGATTTTTTCCAGCTACAGATCTTTTCTGTTGGCTAGCTCAAGGGTGCTGGCTTCACTGGTTGGTTGGCTGTGCATGGAAACAGATGTCACATGTTTTGCTATCAAGTTTAACCACAAGTTATTCTTCTCCAAAATAAGAAAGTTTTGAACATCTCAATGCTACTTTATTATTAGTCCCAAATATGATTGTGAAATACTTTGAAATAAAAACCATGCCTTTCCTAACAAGCATTTCAAATGACCCCAAATATAGAGGAAATCATTTGTCCATCACGTCAGCTGTCTCTCTGTAGTGTTATGATTCACCACAGGATATTTCAAAAGCTGTAAGGAGAAAGTGAAGTATTAAACATTTTCTGACACAACTGGAATAAAAACATGTGGGTTGGAGCACCAGCGCTGGATTTACAAGTTGTGAATGTGAAAAATCCCTGTGTGAGATCCAGACTTCCCTGTGCTCCATAGCCATATCTGTTAGTAAGACAATGTTACTCACTCTACATAAGTGAAATCTCTGCAGGTCTGAGCACATCCCACACTACAACACAAGGTGTTAGTTGAAGGAAAACTAGGGAAGAAACTTCCTGAGGTGACACCCTCTTACTTTAGCATTGATCCATTACAGTCCAGTACAGAACTCGGTGAGTCCAAAGAATTAGCACTTAAATTAGTGGGGGAAATGTAAAATATCAATAGCACTTCTTTTAATGGCACACAGCCTTGGAAATACATGAAGTAGAAGCACTGACACTGGGTTTTCACTAACGAAAGTTCAAGATGAACAGACAAGTCCTTTACACATCATTTATTCTTTAAGGGGATCTGTACCTGGAATCTTCGCATGTCTCGTGGGTTGCCTGCATTCTTCAAACAGTTCTGATTGCACTTGAGGAAAAATTTTAGAAAGAATCTATAAAAATACAAAATTGAAATCTATTAGATTCATCAAAATGTAAATCCAATTTTAAGAAAGTTTAATAAAATTTCATCATAAATAGTTATACCCAAATGAATACCAGTAGTGAAATATGACTTTCCTGTTAGTTAATGAACTTATTTTAAAACTCAAGATCTCTATCATAAACAGCACATTATTGCCAGGGAAAGGCAAATATATATTTTTAATTTTTCAACAACTACAAATGTATTGACTCCAGGCCATATCCTCAGCTCAGTGTGGGAAAGTTGATTTCAGTGACTCATTGACTTCAAAGGCAATGACTTACACCAGATGAGAATTTGTCTCTATTTTTTTAATATGTTTTATTTTTTTCACAACTTATGTTCGCAGGAATGACCTCTACGTTGAAAAATTCCAAGGTAATGAATGATCAATCTTCTGAAAAACACTTGGCTTTGCCTCCAGTTTGGAAACTCTCGTTATTCAAAGGGACTTGATCCAACTCCTGCTGACTCCAGGGAGATCCAGGCAGGATCTGCCCACCGGCAAGGCCCCGGTTCTCTCATTGTTTTTGAAAGGAAAGGAACATGGCAAATTAGGCCCTGTCTTACGACCTCTTCAACCTTTGCCACCCTTTAACTGTAAGGAGTCACTTACCCGGGGATGGAAATCCAGATTATTTTTGCTGAGCAGCAACCAGCAATTATTTAGGACTAACCCTTATCATCTAGGCATCTCCCTATAAACCATTTTTGTAGCAACGCTGCCTCCCGGGAATACAGCAAGCACTTAGAGGAAGGGGAAAAGCTTGGAAAGATGCAAACTCTTTTATGTCACCCTCCCATAAGGGAGAAACAAGCTGATAGGGGATGTCTCCACCCTCCACTCTTCCATCCTGCCCTCACACAGGAGGATGTCCACAGTTTAGCGCTGCCTCTTTTCTTCATGTAGCTGTGTTTTCATGTTTCATAATTAAAACAAGATGTTCTGTGGGTCTGCATTTTCTAATGACTGACAGCTAAAGACAGGCAAGGCTCAGGATTTTTTCCTCACCCAGAGTTTCTCAGGTGCTCTAGTCCAGCAGCTTGTGCTGCCCAGCTTCATACATGTTGAATAGCGAGGTTAGGCAGAGCTTTTACGTTTAGAATATGAGCACCTATTATTTATTCATGTCAATCTTTATGAGTGACTGGAACTACTCTGGCTGTATAGACCTCACAGAAGTTACCTTGTGCCAACAGCATTCCTGGCAGGAGGCAAGCCAGACCCCTCTCCCTTTCTTCAGCACCCAATACAGCCCAGCCATGGCCAATAGAAAGTATGGTTGAGGCTGCATCACACTGTGCTCATTCCTGCAGAGCTTTGAGTATCGGACAGAAGCATTATGGAAGTATCCCCATATCACAAACTGGTGCTGTTAATCACAACTCTTTCTCTTCAGTTTAATCTTAAGCAGGGCCCTAATATTAATACAAGATGCTAACGCTGATGGAAAGGTCTCTCATGTCAGAAAGTCAAGTAGGAAACAACTAAGTTTACTGAAACTGTGCATAAATATATCATTGCCATCAGTTCAGCATGTGCTGAAGTGTACATTTCTTTAAAACTTCCTATCCCAAAATCATAGAATCATAGAATAGTTTGAGTTGGAAAGGACCTTAAGCCCATCCAGTTCCAACCGCCCACTACAGGCAGCAACACAAAATCTGTAAAAGGGTTTTAGCTGTTGAGCTATCCATGGTGGTTGACATGATCTCCTAGCTTGGATGCTCACTTAAACTCAGGTTTTCTGAGCACTATTAAGGGACACTCTTAACAGCTCCATGAAACTGCACCTTTATTAGCAACACCCTCACCCTAATTTATCTGCCTTGGTTTTGGGGAGGTTGGGAGGTTTGGGTTTGGTTTTTTTTGTAAAGATACTTATGATCTCCGGGTCAACTGGCTATAGGCTAAGCGTAATGACAGTTCTGTCATACCTCTAGGGTTTTTTTGCACACCTTCCACCCCACAGACTCTGATGAAGTGCAAGGCCCAGCTGATTCCCACGTTAGTACTGGACCCCCAGGTACTGGGGAGTCTGGAGCTGGGACAAGCCTCCAGCTTTACAGCTCCTTAGTGCCACAGCCAGGCTGAAGTGGAGTATCTTATCTATTATTTTTTTTTCTGATCTCAAATGGGTGTTGTGAGGCTTATTGAGCTAATGTTTGTAAATTGCTCGGAAATTCTCCAATGAATTGTGCACGAGGAATGCTAAGTATTGCTCCTTGTGGATTGTTTTTAACGTGAAGCATTCGTGATGAATTGTTTCTATACAGAGAGCTCACATCCTGTCAAAAAAAATTGGGCTATTAAGCACCCTTTCACTAAAACATCGACTGGAACTGGTATTTGTTCAATTATTTGGTGAAAAGGACCCACTCTTGGTAGAATTAGACATCTTCAAGCTGACTAGGATGACCCTGAGCACTGAGCTAAATAATGAAGACACAGGCTGGGGTGAACACAGGCAGCACTCTTATTTCAGCTCTGCTACATTCCTCGATACTGAGGTATTATATTTCATTTTTTAAATCTGTGTTTTCAGAGAGTTCAGGTGGCACTAAGATAAGCTTTTCAGAGGGATACAAGGTAGGTTTAAAACCATGTTCCCAGGTAGAGCATTTCTCAAAGCTTGCCAAGAGAAGGCAACCGAGCTGGTTGTGCCTCTCAGCTGACCAACAAGGACCACGGGTGCTATAAACCCATTCCTACAGCAGGAATAAAGGGGCCAGATGCTTTATCTGCAAGCCCTGCACTCCCAAGGCAACATCTGGGTGACACAGCAAGAAGCAAGGAGCTGGATCAGAGCTTCACTTGCTTGTGTCTCAAACTTTGTTGCTACCAAGAGATTGAGAATGTAGGCCTTCCTAGACATGGCTCTCCCTGCTATATCTTGTATTATAAGCACAAATTGTACTCTTCTTTAATAAATACATCCTCACAGAGTACCCTTCCTAAACACACTCCTAAAATACTGATGCAGAGAAAAATGCAGTCTTTGTGATATTCCTTTGCCCAGATGTCCTCCCCCCCGCCCCCCCCCAGCCTCACTGCTAGAAAGGGGACTTCTACCACCTTAATTAAAATGTATTACCTACCACAAGACTTCTCCATTTTAAGATAGAATTTACATCTTTTATTAACTCACCTCACCTATACACTTAGCCCGCGATGCCTCTCAACGCCCATCTGCCAGCCGCGTACAGTAAGTCACTTGATATTCCACCCACCAATTTTTCCTAACAACCACTGTGCAATTAAACTCAACACGTTCTGTTGCGAGGTAAATTAGGCACACCTGCGGCCAGACTTCATTTGAACTGCATCAGAAAAGGACCTAACAAGGTGAGAGCGTACCACAAAGTTATAGGCCTGTCAAGCAATTAGGTTTTCACTTCTGGGACATCCGCACAGTGCAATTATGCTACACATTACAACCTGGCTAATCTTCTGAACAAATGTCATGTCTCGGAGAAGCTAGTAAAAGCAGTTCATCTGCAAATGTGTCTGCGCTTAAGCCTCCACCTTATGCACATAACAACCTACAGGAGACTTTTTCTTGTGATATGAAAGATGGTTTTTTTCTCCCATAGAAGATTTTTTAAACCCTGCAAGTGCCTTTTCATCCTTTTCACCTCTTCTTAACCTTTTTGAGAGGAGGTGTTGGAGCAAATAGACCAGAAAGACTTTTGTACTTGAATTTCAACACTAAGCAAGAAAATACTTGGTATTACTAGCATAAGCGGTGGCTCTAGTTTGGTCCAGTTCAAATATTGCTTGGCTAAAGGAATATTTGTGGTGGGAAACCACCTATTACATCCTAGAAACACCATTAGTAAAGCGTATTTCTACCAGACCACAAACAGAAGCATCATTCCTGCAGATAAACCTCTGCAGGAACTAAGTGTTTAATACTTTTTATTTCAGATACTGAGTACAAATGCCCCAACAACAACATTCTAAACCAAAATCTGCACTGGTGATAGGCAAGGTCTCTCTAAGAAAGTCAGTCAAAACCTGCAGTGACAAGCAGTCTCCTTCCCTTTATCATATTAGATCTTCCCAATGTTCCACTCAACCTGGACAGAAAACTGCACCAGCCCTACAGCATCATTTTGCTTTACTCCAGTAATTCTGTTTCGTTTCCATCTGTATTTCAGGTACGGGGTTAGAGTGCTCAGTTAAACCTATAGCCCTCCAGTACCTGAAGGGGGCCTATAGGGATGCTGGGGAGGGACTCTTCATTAGGGACTGTAGTGACAGGACAAAGGGTAACAGGCGCAAACTTAAACAAGGGAAGTTTAGATTGGATATAAGGAGGAAATTCTTCACTGTTAGGGTGGTGAGGCACTGGAATGGGTTGCCCAGGGAGGTTGTGAATGCTCCATCCCTGGCAGTGTTCAAGGCCATGCTGGGCAGAGCCTTGGGTGACACGGTTTAGTGTGAGGTGTCCCTGCCCATGGCAGGGGGGTTGAAACTGGATGATGTTAAGGTCCTTTCCAACCCTAACTATTCTGTGATTCTATGATTCTTTGAGATCTTGCTACAGTACAAAATACAGAATCATTAAGCTATGACAAGCCTGCTCCAGTTTCATGAGTAAAAAAAGCTCAGATTTGGATCATTATCTGTGATTCTGAGGTTCTTTGGAATAGAAGCTGTCTGCAGGGGCACAACACTGCTATGGGGTGGAGGCAGGAGAGAGCAGGAGGAGAGGAGACATTTGAAGTCAATTGGTAATTCTCATCCTTTACTCGATTACCCTTTAATTGGCTTTTTCCTAAGAAATATCTGACAACCGCTTTGCATATCTCTTTTCTAGAGCCTAGTAAACAAAGGATTTAATACTCTTGTTATGAAAGGAAAAATCTTTCCTCTGTCAGAAAATCTTTGGCTTTAGCACCAATAAACTCTTTATTACTGCTAAACTTGGATTTGCTGCTCGATCGCAAAGAGGCGATAAAAAC